CTCCATCCCCGGGATCAAGGGGAGCATAACTGGGGGTACTTGGGAATGCCCAAGTACCACCGGTTAACGTCCCTGGACGTAGCCAACTGGGGCACAAGGGAACACTACGGTTTCCCCAGCCAAACCCGGCTCGTCTCCTTTTTCCGGTGGTTCGACCAAGACTCCCCCACCCTAAGCAACAAAGTCAGGAGGTGGGTCAGCCTCCACCATGCCAGCATCCCCATGCTGGCAAGCCTGTTGCTGTGGGAGTTAAAGAACATGGACATGGTGTTTGTCGAGGCTCTCATTGACATGAAAGTCCTATATGAGTTGCCCTCCCCGGACTATGGGCTAGCACGACCCCTCGGCAACATCATGGAAGAGCCTCGCTGGGAGTTGGTCCCCCTGAGGGAGCCACCAGCTGATGCAGCCTAGGAGGTTGCATCCTCCCAGCGAGGAATGGCACGAGGTACCATCCTCGCTACCGGAGCGGAACCCTGACCGCCTCCCTCTGTCAGCCTGCACCAAGTGCATCAAAGGCTTTGAGGGACCTTTTGTCAGGAGGTTCCTAACCTCTCGGGAGGTACCAGTCTCTGGTAGCATCCCAAAGAGGATGAAAGCAGAGGTTCATCCTCGCTGCCAGAGAGCACCCCTGGCCCCCCACGGTTTTGCAACCCCTTGCACCAAAACCTGAGGTGGTTTTGCCAGGAGGTTCAATCCTCTCTCCTGAGGTACAACCTCTGGTAGCATCCCAAAGTGGATGGTAGCCTAGGAGGAGGTTTGCTTTCCTCCCCCTGTACCATAGGGCCAAGAGGGCCATCAGGAGTGCCAGTACAGAGGCACGGTTTTCACAACCCAAACACCAAGACGGTGGATCGCATTTGTTCGCTCAACTCGGAAAAAAATTTCCGAACTAAAAGTGGATCGCATTTGTTCGCTCAACTCGGAAAAAAAATTTCCGAACTAAAAGTTCAATAGTTTGAACCCAGGTTCCAACCTGGGTTCGGAACCCAGGTTCAAGCCTGGGTTCCACCGGGGTGTCTGGAACAAAGTCAAGCCTTTGCATCGCCGGTTGTGGTTGCGTGTGACGAATACGAACAGTTCGCGGCGCAAACTTCGCAACTTAAAAAGAAGTAGAGGGAGAAATCAGGGCCAGGTCTCTGCTGCTGTTATTTGCTTTTTGGCCCTTAATGCTGACCCTGCGCGAACTTTACAGAACGGGACCTGGTTTTCTCCTCCTTGCGGGGAGGGAGGGGAGTTCTTGCTGTCAAATAGGCTGTGCTCAAAGTTTTTCGACAACCAATGCATCACGCGCAACTTGCCAGCTTTTGCGTCACTACATTGTCACTAGTGTTGCATTGGTTCGTGTTTATCACACCAGAGCGGTGTCTGTCGGCATCGTGACCTGGGCTCGGGTCACTGCTCCAACATGCAGGATGATTTTTCTGGCTTTTGTCGCTTCTGGTAGTTGGAACAGCGACCGTGCATCTTCGCCCTGCATTGGAAAGAATGAAGCCACAACTGTGGCTTTGCGCCGCTCCAGCACTGCTTGGCACCCTGTACAGAAGCGAAGCTGGAATGGCGAGACACCTCCCTGATACGAGGCCTCGGCTCACTTGTCCTTGTCACACCACTGTCTGATGATGGCATCCCATGCTGCTTTCTAAATGGCAGCTTCGGGCATATTGACCGGGCTGCTGCGCTCCCTTCCCTATAATGCCAGGTCGCCAGGGTGCTTGTTAGAGGGGTCTCCTTGTCGAAGGCGACGTCGAGAGCGGCGACCGACTGCTCTCATCTTTACAAACCAGGTTAAGGCGTTGCAACGTACATTGGAAATTTTTGACTTTTTTGATGGGGAGCCCTTCCTACGTCAGAGAGAGCGAGCGAGAGAGAGAGAGAGAGAGAGAGAGAGAGAGAGAGAGAAACACAGAGACAGAGACAGAGACAAAGGCAGAGACAGAGACAGGGACAGAGACAGAGACAGAGACAGAAAGAGACAGAGAAAGAGAAAGGGAAAGAGAAAGAGAAGAGCAAGAGAAAAAAGAGAAAGAGACAGAGCAAAAAGGAGGGAGAAGGAGAAAGAGAAAGGGAAAGAGAAAGAGAAAGAGAAAGAGAAAGAGAAAGAGAAAGAGAAAGAGAAAGAGAAAACAATAGAGAAAGGGAAAGAGAGAGAAAAAAAAGAGAAACCGAAGGAGAAAGCAAAAGTGCAAGCAAGAAAAGAGAAAGAAAGCGAAGAGACAGAATAAGGGAAAGAGAGAAACGGAGAAGGCACAGAGAAAGGGAAAGAGAGAAACGGAGAGAGAGAGAGAGAGAGAGTGAAAGAGAGCGAGAGAGAGAGAGAGAGAGACAGAGAGAGAGAGAGAGAGAGAGAGACAGAAAGAGAAAGAGAAAGAGAAAGAGAAAGAGAAAGAGAAAGAGAAAGAGAAAGAGAAAGAGAAAGAGAAAGAGAAAGAGAAAGAGACAGAGAAAGAGAAAGAGGAAGAGAAAGAGAAAGAGAAAGAGAAAGAGAAAGAGAGAGCGAGAGAGAGAGAGAGAGAGAGAGCGAGCAGGCAGAGCGAGAGCAGAGAGAGGGACAGAGAGAGAGAGAGAGAAAAGAACAGAGACAGAGACAGAGACAGAGACAGAGACGGCCATCTCCTCAAGCGACTTGGACTGCGCCTGAGCATTAATCTCTCCCTGCGGTTTCCAATCACATGCCGGATGAAAACAACAACGTGTCACTTCACGATGCGTGCAAAGAAGGGAAAACTACACTCACTGGCAGTTTTTCGGTTCTCAAAACCGAAACCGTGCAACATAGCGTCGCCCTCCATCGTTTGGCAGCATGGCAAACCTTTAACGGAGATGTGGTCTGGCAGACTCACAACCCAAAAATGAAGATTTACAATAGTGATGTTGATACGGCTTTGCAAACAGTGGCCTTTTCTCGCGCAACTTCGGCGGTTTCGCTTTTCTTGCGGTTGGGTGGGCTTTGAGTTTTTTTGCGCTTGCCATTCTTGCGTCTTCATTGGAGGTTTGCGCTCTTCAGAGGCAACAAATAGGCATCACGCAGGACAGGACCTGTTTCCTGGTCTCAGCTGCATGACCTTTAACCTGGGATGGTGACGCCTTGGTGGGCTTAAAGAACTGAAGAAAAAATTTCGTGAGTGGTACCTGCCCCGTTGAATGTGTCCCTTCCGTTGCCTCGGTAAAGACATTCATGTCAGGGTAGTCGATGGAGAGGAGGAGTTCTCTCCAAAACGAAAGACGTTTGTTTTTGAGGATGCTCTTCGGGCGGGTTGAAACTTCAGGAGAGGAGAGAACCCCGATCGGTGATGGCCAAGTACCAATCCCAGCGAGACTTTCAACGGGAGGGGGGGGGAAATCAAGTTGACTTTCAAGAATAAACACGGGTGGCAACTTCGCAAATTGCATTTCGCGCAGCCCTACGTCCTACGTAAACCTTTCGAAGCCCCAAGGCCCTAAAAGCCGGTTGATGGGGTCCCTTGGTGAAGGATCTCGTGTTGGCGGGACAGGCTCAGGGCTGATGCACATCAGAACGTTGCTCTTTTCTTGGGGCGCGGCAAGCTCGATGAGACTATGACTTGGCTCAGATGTGATGTCAAGGAAGAGGCCAGGATTCGCAACAGAGGAAAGTTGCACCCACTGCTCGATTTCGGCGTGGGCATCTTCTGTTTGGCAACGTTGTCGGGTGTGTGGCCGTTTGCCGGAATACACGACCAAAAGATGCGACGTCCTCAACGGAGATGCAGGGTAGGTTAGCCGCGATCCTGTCTTACAAGTCGTTTTCTCTAACTGCAGATGCCCAAGTCATGTAGCTTGGCGAGGGAGCCATCGGAGAGACTGACCTTTGCACCTCTTATCAAAATGCGCAGTCGAATCGAGGAAGAACGCAGTCGAATCGATGAAGAACTCGGAGGGAGGCCTACCGCGGGTTGCACATATTTATGGAAATCACACACATCACTGCGCACTTGAAGGTGGAGACTAGATTGAGTTCCGCTGAAAAAAACAGCCAATGACAACGACAATCTAAAGGACAGGACAAACTTGAAGCCAGGTGCCAGACACATGAGCGCAAAAAGTCATGTTTCCTGCGCGTGCGGAAGGTATGTTTCCAGCACGCAAGAGGGTGTGCATACTGTAAATGGCTTAAGAAAAGCTGTGTTTCCTGCGTAAGTTATGAAGACATGGCTGCAAATGTGACGGCTTTCCTACAGCATGACCCTGCACTCAGGCAGCGTGATCAGTACTCAACTTGACAATCAGAGAGTGCAAACTGTTAGCCAATTCTCGACCCGCGCATGGCGGTCAGCATCCAAAACCGAGCTCTCCAGAGCTTGCAGAGCTTGCGCTCACCTATGACGGTGACTTCTAGGGTCCTGCCCTCAGCTTTTCAGCGTCACAAGTCACAAGTGCGGCAGAATGCGCTCCCTACAAGCTCCTTTTGCACCTCGGACTGCTGCTTGCATAGGCTTAAGCCGCTGATCCTGGACAAGAAATGTCGCACTATGTGGCAACGTAAAGATTCTTTCAGTGAGGCCAGATCTGTTGCTGTACCTGACTGCGCTTTGTCGGAGGCCGCGCCTGGAGCAGTCCTGGTGATGCCTGTGCAATCTTGTGCGCTTCTGCAGGTACATGATCAGTTGAGCCGGCGCGTGACCTCCCAGCAGACAAGGAATCCCATGGCGTGGAACTTACCGTCAAATACCTACGAGGGTTGGCAGAATTTCTTTCGCTTGCTGTATTCTGTTTTTGCTGGGGAACCTCGTGGCCTAGTTGCGGTGGCTGGCACACTGTGAGCAAGCGCCCCCGCGATCTGTTCTCAACAGGCCCCGATTACAACCACGAGCTCAGCGTCACCACGGCCTGTGGAGGCGATGTCGGGAGCCACAAGTGAGTTTTCACCGTGTGCGGGACGGTGACCTGCCTGGGACGTTCTCTCTGTCTCTCTCTCCCTCTCTCTCTCTTTTTCTTTCGCTGTGTTTCTGCAGAATATGTCGGCTCTTGTCAGGAATCACATGCCGGCAGTGCAGCCTCCCTTGGGCTTGCCACCAGAGCTTTCACGACGGGCTGGGGGCCCCTGAGCCTTGTAAACCTTAAGCGCGCATCCCTCAACTTTAAGGGCCTTTTCTGCCTTGGCCATCCGACACTTGCTTTTGTCTGTCGAAGGCTGTCCTCCAAGATGGCGTTCACGTGCCAGGGGCTCAGTGAAAAGGCAGGAAGTCGGGAAGAAACCTGGTTGCCAGTGTCTTGCTCACTGGGAGATAGCCTATGGTTCCACGGGCCGCACGAGCTAGCTGTCAAGGATTTCACCATGAACCAGCCCAGCCATATCCCAGGTTTAGGCAGCGCTTGCATTGAGACTCCCGCGTTTGCTGATTGGAGGCACTCTTCCCAAGAGAGCGCTTTGCAAGATGATCGAGCGCAGGCAGCTTGCCAAACGGACCTTGAGGATCGCACGCCCGTTCGTTCCCCCTTCGCGTCACAAGCTTTGCTGAGCCTCATTCCTGTTCTCGAGCTGGTTCCGAGGTTGGCGCTGTGGAACTGGCGAGGATCTGCTCGCATCGTTGCAAGCCCGAGGCCAGGTTTGACGTCTCTTGTAAACACGTCTCGAAGCACCATGCTGTGAGGCGTTGGTGCAACCTTTGTGTCTGTCGAAACGTGACACGGCTTTGCCGAGCACATCGGCTCGGCAATGTGGCGACTCACAGGCCGGAGGGCCAGGGCCATTCCCCCAGTGGTAGACCCTGTTGTGATGGCGCATGGGGCATGTGCTTGCCAAGTCTTAGCTGAAGGATATGCGCCTTGGCGACGCTGTCTTGGTGAAGAACTACATCTTCTCGCAGGAGCGTTGCTGCGTGCATACGGTACGGACGGACATAGACCTTCTGTGACCACAAAATAGCCCGAGGACCCCTCCTCCATGTGTGTGGTTATGCGTAGGGGTGCATAGCGTGTTCATGTGCTCGGTGGCTTCTGCAGCCGAGCCGGCCATGAAAAGGCTGCCTGAAAAGGGGCCTTGGATTGGCAGCGCGAGGCCATTCGCTGAAAAGTGGTGGTTTTGCGCGCTGGCTCAGCCGCGGTCGCCGTCGTTCACAAAGCCCTTCTCCCTACTTGGAGCTGCGGGTAGCTTAAATTTGGGATACGTCCGTCCCTCGAACAGTTTGGGCATGAGTGGCTTGTTTGCACCGGAATCACACTGGTATGGTACGCCCACTATGATGACAACCCTACACAGTAACTTTTGGTAGCAAGAGCCATCTCCTTTGCAGCTTGCCGCAGCACGCTTGGCTGGCATGCTTGACGCTCGAGGACCCAACTCCGAGTCGCCCATGTGCTGCCTGGCTCTCGGTGCTCTTCCTGGAATTGGGCCGCCTTGTGTGTGTGTGTGGGTGGGTGGGGGGCACGGCGCTTCGATGATTGTTTGCCGTCAACCGTTTTGCGGCATTGATTTTGTCACAGGCGCTGATTTGTGCTTACTAGTGCATACAAACGAGACTGTGATTGGAGAGTTGCCGGAAGATGCGAGACCTTGCAGACAGGCACTCGACAAGAATGTGTTGCCAGAAGCCTTGTGTGGTATTTTGAAGTTGAGCATGGGGTACTTGGTAAGGGGGGCTCTGGCGCGAGTGCTTTGCAGAAAGGTGTGCAAACAAGACGTTCTTGAAGTGGTGTGTGGCATTTTGATTTTTAGGCATGGGCGCCCGCCGTGTGTGTGTGTGTGTGTGGGTGGGTGGGGGGCACGGCGCTTCGATGATTGTTTGCCGTCAACCGTTTTGCGGCATTGATTTTGTCACAGGCGCTGATTTGTGCTTACTAGTGCATACAAACGAGACTGTGATTGGAGAGTTGCCGGAAGATGCGAGACCTTGCAGACAGGCACTCGACAAGAATGTGTTGCCAGAAGCCTTGTGTGGTATTTTGAAGTTGAGCATGGGGTACTTGGTAAGGGGGGCTCTGGCGCGAGTGCTTTGCAGAAAGGTGTGCAAACAAGACGTTCTTGAAGTGGTGTGTGGCATTCTGATTTTTAGGCATGGGCGCCCGCCGTGTGTGTGTGTGTGTGTGTGGGTGGGTGGGGGGCACGGCGCTTCGATGATTGTTTGCCGTCAACCGTTTTGCGGCATTGATTTTGTCACAGGCGCTGATTTGTGCTTACTAGTGCATACAAACGAGACTGTGATTGGAGAGTTGCCGGAAGATGCGAGACCTTGCAGACAGGCACTCGACAAGAATGTGTTGCCAGAAGCCTTGTGTGGTATTTTGAAGTTGAGCATGGGGTACTTGGTAAGGGGGGCTCTGGCGCGAGTGCTTTGCAGAAAGGTGTGCAAACAAGACGTTCTTGAAGTGGTGTGTGGCATTTTGATTTTTAGGCATGGGCGCCCGCCGTGTGTGTGTGTGTGTGTGTGGGTGGGTGGGGGGCACGGCGCTTCGATGATTGTTTGCCGTCAACCGTTTTGCGGCATTGATTTTGTCACAGGCGCTGATTTGTGCTTATTAGTGCATACAAACGAGACTGTGATTGGAGAGTTGCCGGAAGATGCGAGACCTTGCAGACAGGCACTCGACAAGAATGTGTTGCCAGAAGCCTTGTGTGGTATTTTGAAGTTGAGCATGGGGTACTTGGTAAGGGGGGCTCTGGCGCGAGTGCTTTGCAGAAAGGTGTGCAAACAAGACGTTCTTGAAGTGGTGTGTGGCATTTTGATTTTTAGGCATGGGCGCCCGCCGTGTGTGTGTGTGTGTGTGTGGGTGGGTGGGGGGCACGGCGCTTCGATGATTGTTTGCCGTCAACCGTTTTGCGGCATTGATTTTGTCACAGGCGCTGATTTGTGCTTATTAGTGCATACAAACGAGACTGTGATTGGAGAGTTGCCGGAAGATGCGAGACCTTGCAGACAGGCACTCGACAAGAATGTGTTGCCAGAAGCCTTGTGTGGTATTTTGAAGTTGAGCATGGGGTACTTGGTAAGGGGGGCTCTGGCGCGAGTGCTTTGCAGAAAGGTGTGCAAACAAGACGTTCTTGAAGTGGTGTGTGGCATTTTGATTTTTAGGCATGGGCGCCCGCCGTGTGTGTGTGTGTGTGTGGGTGGGTGGGGGGCACGGCGCTTCGATGATTGTTTGCCGTCAACCGTTTTGCGGCATTGATTTTGTCACAGGCGCTGATTTGTGCTTATTAGTGCATACAAACGAGACTGTGATTGGAGAGTTGCCGGAAGATGCGAGACCTTGCAGACAGGCACTCGACAAGAATGTGTTGCCAGAAGCCTTGTGTGGTATTTTGAAGTTGAGCATGGGGTACTTGGTAAGGGGGGCTCTGGCGCGAGTGCTTTGCAGAAAGGTGTGCAAACAAGACGTTCTTGAAGTGGTGTGTGGCATTTTGATTTTTAGGCATGGGCGCCCGCCGTGTGTGTGTGTGTGTGTGGGTGGGTGGGGGGCACGGCGCTTCGATGATTGTTTGCCGTCAACCGTTTTGCGGCATTGATTTTGTCACAGGCGCTGATTTGTGTTTATTTGTGCATTCAAACGAGACTGTGATTGGAGAGTTGCCGGAAGATGCGAGACCTTGCAGACAGGCAGTGTGTTACAAATGATTTCCTCTTCCAAAATCCTGTCTCACTGCGTTCATGCGTGCACTGCGTTCGCTTGTTCGTTTCACTCGCGCGCTTTCTTGTTCACTTACTCACTTCGTACTATTATGTGAAGAGAACTTTATTAATGCGGCTATAAGTGAGGTGAATGAAATGAATGTAGCGCATGAACCGCATGAATAAAGTGAACGAAACCCCCACTTCGTTCATACAATTACTGCGTTCACTGCACCCATTCGTTCACCTATATTTGTATTCTCTTCGTACTAATAATAATACAGTGTGAACAGAGTGAATGAACGCATGAAATTAATATAAGCGTGAACGTAACACACGGGCTTACAATATACTTCTTATGGCCCGTGCGTACAATACTAATTCTAAAGGTAAAAGAGAACATTATATTAATATTGGTAATGAAATGAAATGAAGCACGCAGTATTAATAGAATGTGAACGCAGTGCGGTCTTTTGCTCCCTTAAAAAACCCATTCATGCGTCTTCTCTTCGTTCATCCTTATAATGCGGCTTTTCCAGGAGCTAGACCGATCATCCTGTACTGCGTTCGTACACTCATTGCGCTCACTCAGTACATTCGTTCCCTTATTCGTTTCTCTCTTCGTAGTTCCAGCCCGGATGATTGGTTAACGGGGGAACAGTACTAACAATAAGGTCTTTTGGGGCTTATGGTTGCGTTCACTGAAAGCCTAATAAAATGTACTAAAAAGGTAAATGAAGTGCACGCTTTCAGTATATTTTATGTGGCTTTTCTCTCTTCTTCTTTCTTCACCTGTAATAATATAATGCACGCGTCGCTCACTCCTTGTCATTAATATTATTACCGTGAAGAGAATAAGAGAGCACATTAATACTAATATTACAAGTTAACGCGTGAATATTAGTATTAGTGTGTGAACGCATGAACGCAACAACTGGACCATGAGGTAGAAACTGCCGCTGGACGCTATTAACCCAGCTCACGGATCGCTTCTAAGGGTGAACTCTCCTTCCCATGGAATCTTCTCCTTGTTTCGTTCTCTAGTTCGCTTATTCACTTACAATTCGACAGTTCGTGCGTGTATTTCGCTCACTAGTTCTCTTCACGTAATACTAATATTAATCTTGTAAGGAGTGAACATGTGGCTGACTTTAAAACTTTTTCCTCGTTTTCCATGAGGGTTGTCAAACAGGTTTTAGGCAGTGCGAGCGCCAGGGCATGTGCACTGTTGTCTACGTGTCCGCCTCAGTCTTTCTGCGATGAGCGAACTGTTGCGAGCTAGCCCTTTCGAGGGCAGAGTGTGTGTGTGTGTGTGTGTGCGTGGGAAACAGTTATTTGCATCCTGGAAAGGCACCGCAAAATCTACATGTCGAGCAGGGGGCGGATGGACTCATTGCTTGGCATCCGCCAACGAAGACCCAAGCAATGAGTCGTGAAGCGTACCTGTTCGCCCGCACCTGCAGTCCGGGGTGGCCAGCTGGTGAGGCGTCAATTCACTTTCATCTTCATCTCATTTCGTGCTACGTTATTCCTTCGTGTCTGGCGTAGCAAGGGGCTGAAACCATACCCCGCACGGATCATCTCATCTTGTGTTTGTGCGCCATGCCTGAATCAAGACATGTATAGGCACCGAGAGGTGCATGAACATTCGCACTATCCAAACTTGTTACCGCAGCCGGCTTGAGCATATTGAAAAGAGTCCAGAGTTCTTAACTTTGGTAGCGGGGCTTGTGCTCCTGCCATTCGCTGCGGCGCGGCTTCCCCGCGCTCGTTGCTGCTTTGAGGCGGCGACGGCCCGAGCATCTTTGCTTGTGGCTGCTACGACATCTTCTACGTGATTCAACGACACCGTCACCACGAAGCCTCTATTCGAGGCCTGGTTGCTGGCGCACATCCTGTGCTGCTGGGCAACCCAATCCCAATCTTTCTTCTCTCGCGACAAGAGCAACAGTGAGACCCCGGCGAACCCACAGCAGCTGACTTGCGGCGGCTTTGGCGGCGGCGCGGCCTCACGACCTCGGTGCCTACTACACGATTCGCCGGAAGTTCACGTCCTTGGAAGGGGACGACCACGGCTACACGATTCTGCAGTCCAACTCCCTGTGGCAGCAGCGATGGCAGCGCCGAACACGCATGTTGGCGGAGTTCCTTTGGAAGAGTTCCGCAAGGATGTTCCACCAGGATGGCGACCAGGACTGGAGAGCTACCCGCTGAAGACTTACTTTCAGAAGTTGCGATTGTGGTACCGCATAACAGATCTTCCAGATGAATGTGTGGGACCTTTGGTGGCTGGCAGACTTGGCGGAGGCGCTCAAAAGATCGCCTTGGAGCTCAAGTTGATCCGTCCTGATGGTCGGTACGACTATGGCGACGCGGCTTTGGTTCGGCTAAGCACGGAGCAGGTTGTGGATCCCTACGATGGAGTAACGATCTTGCAGCATGCCATCCCCTCGGGCGTGCAGGCCTTGTGTAACGCCCTGCGAGAAGCCTATGGAGACACCGACGAGATCCAGACGACCCGAGCCCTGGAGAACTTCTTCGAGCACAAGCGGACACAAGGTCAAGATCTACGACAGTTCTCGGTCGAGTGGGATTCGAGATATGAAGAAGCCCAGCTTCGTGCAGGCCTGGACATCAACCCCGTTGCCAAGAGCTACCTGTGGCTGAAGCAGAGCGGACTGTCCCAGAAGCACCAAGATGATCTTCGGCTTCAGGTCTTGGGCGACATGAGCCGGTTTCAGGACATCCGCAATCTAG